ATCCGAAGAGAGAAGGCTGCCATGAACAGATTAATGTACCTGAAGCTCCTTCAGAAAGTAATTTTCACCTGCATGCAAGCTGAAAACACGGGAGCTGTTCATCAACAACACAGGAGATCCACTCCCTCAAAAGCAACAATTTCAACCCCAAACTGGCTAGAGCATTAGGAGTCTTATCAGGTCACCCTGTTGGTCAGGTGGCTTCTTACGCTTATGTAAATATGTTTGACGAGAAGCTTCATTTCACACAGGGCTCAGCCTTGGAAGCTGATTTGAATAGTAGACTTTGGGGTTTGGGATGCACAAATAAACAGCCCAGAGACAAATGTCAGTGGGCTGTCATCTCTTTGTTTCCCTTCTCAATAAGTGACCAGCAGAACCATTCCCACAGGTTTGGTATTAAGGGACTTCCTGGCCCAAGTCAGCCATGTCTCCTCCCTTCAGAATTCAAGCATGCATTGTATTGATAATGCATTCTCACTACTGGAAAATGTGACGGAACTGCAAAGTAGCAGGCTATTGAAAGATCCAATTCTGAATTGTGTTTCCCTTAGGAAGGCTCTATAAAGGTACATTTAAGTTTAGTTCCTCCTTATGACAGTCACACAGCTGCACCCCCAAGGAGAGTACAAAAGCTATGTTGATCCTTATGATAAATACTATTTATTTCTATCCCACCCAATAGCGGGAAGTATTATGCTTATTAACATTTCCTCCAGCTTCTAGGAGGATTATAGCCGGTTGGCGAGGAGGAAAAGAATGTGACCCCGCTCCATCTCAGCACTGCTCTTGGGCTGTCTTGCTAGCAACCCCTTGTACGGAGCAGTACATGATAAGCCAACAAAATTCCCCATACCTTGCCCACTGAGAATGCGTCATTGTATACAGTCAGGTCACAGCAAATGCCTAAAGCATGATGTGAAAACACACGTGTGAGGAGCTTTAAAAAATGTGGATGAACTGCCTCGATTCCCAAGGTTTGTCATCCTCCACCCTTTAACAGTTTGCTCCTGGAATTGCCATGTGACTCAAGGGGCATACGACACACACATTGGCTGCCTAAATTGTGTGGCTGTCCTTGTGATTTTAACATTACTCTTCTAGCCCAGAGCACCCTGTACAGTATGCTACAGTACTGTCCATGCTCTCCAGAGGATCAGTTTTATCCATGTTCTGTGGGGACACGCTGAGCCTCTCCAGAACCCAGTTTGTGCTTGCCTGGCAGACTTCTTCTGATGTTCATCCCTCTCTAAAGAAGTACGCTGAGCCCAGAGGAAGTTTGTAGGCCTTTGCAGCTCCCCAGCTGCTCTTCCCAGCAGCTAACATTTTTCACAGCAGTGGCAGCAACATGTGGGGAAAAGGGGTGCAGTGAGGAAGGTGTCAGCCACCATTCCCAGAGGCCAACCGTGGGTCTGCTTGTACCGCGTGTGGGGCTTGAGTCCTGGCGAGCACCCCGTGAGCCCTCAGAGAGCTCAACAGGGGCTCTGGGCCACTGCACGCTTGACCAGAGTGCAGGGAGCTGAAACCATGCAATCTGCAGATTTTCTGTCCGAAGTGGATTCTTCACAATTACCCAGTATACACATGCTATGCACCTGGTGCAGTGCTTCCCATTTTTCCCCCAAGGAAGCATTTAATCCGTTCAAACAGTTTCTGCACTTAGCTAATCTCCTTTGAAAGGTACCTAAATTAGTGGCTGTCACTACAAACTGTGGTAGCAAATTCACCAACAATCCACATTTGCTTTATTATGATTGAAAACTGAACTCCACCGTGCCATTCAAGCATAGAAGCAAAAGTGTCCTTCCTGAAAAGATTTGTTTAAGCACACAGGTATCAAATACCAGCAAGGCTAGAGGTGGACAACCTGCAGGCCACAAACTCTTCCAGTGCAGCCCCAGTGTCCCCCTCAGCATCTCATATGGCCACTGTTCAGGAGCACAGATAAAGAGCTGGGGAAGGGGTCATGCTTATGTGGGATCTTGCCCACTCTGATCCTTTGTACACTGCAGACCCCAACAGCTCCTCACCAAGATGCCTAGTCCTGCCCCCTTCTTTCCTAGCAGGGTCTCCATGATGTCTATCCTTTTTTGATGTTCGTATGGTTTGGGTGAAAGTTAAACCATGGATTATGCAAGGGTGGTGTAACCCCTGCATAAGCTACACGGGTCAAATTCACATGGCGGGCTGTCATATTATGCAAACAAGTTCATTATCCAAAAGCCCAGTTTATCAGGACAGCAGAGAGGTGGGTGAGAATTTAATTTCTTAGTTTGGGGGGAAAAATACCAAAATGTGTGAAGTTCTTCATAACTGAGAAAGAAAGGACTTGAGATTTAGAAACAAAATTGAATATAGAAGAAAGTGAAAATGACAGATTCATCCGTCTTTACGTTGGCAGTTATGAAAAGTGGTGCAGCCTTTGTCCACTCTTCTTTTTAAAGAAGGGTCTTTTCATGGTAAGCGGGGTCAGACTAAGCCAGGTTATCGTGTGTGAGGGCAACAGACTACAGATCCATGATAGAGCCCTACAGTTATGTTAGGACAGTCCAAAGGAGCAGTGGAAAACCTCCAGTGAAAAACCTGGAATGTATAATGTTGCTGTATAGTCTGCATAGTTCCTCTTGACAGAGATATATTGCTAGGTGCTAGGGAGACAAAGTGATTGGGCAGAGGAACTGTTTTTGGCTGGCAAAACAGATCCATGAGATTACATTTGATTTAGCTAGCTTTCCAGTTGCATTTTTGTCTATTAAAAGGGAGTGGCCTAAATATTACAAGATTAACTGGCCAATAAGTTTTAGCACCATGAAGAAAGAGAAGAATATCAAGCAGTAAGGGATGGTTAGCTATAAATGGTTAGGGCCCTACTTTTGTCCTTTTTGTAGTAAGTGTTAAATTTGATTATGTATATTGGATATGGCAATGGATTGGTATTTGATTGTGCCTTAATTATGCTCTAAACATTATGTCCCAATTTTATTGTACTACTGAATTATTGTAGTAATAGCCTTCGGCTGAACAGTAAAAATTGGAAGGATTGAGTACATGCTTGTGCAAGCAGCTGGGCCTTATTCCAACACCCACTAAAGCTAAAAGGGCCTCGGCTGTGCTAGAAAAGACCCCCATTCCTGAGATCCTGGAGACCCACTGGCAGTTTGCATAGCAGACCATGCTAGACAACCTGTCTCTGGATAAGGTTCATTTCCTGAGTTTGCATAGTAGCAATTCAGATCATTCTGTAGGACTGGACTATTGATCCTTTCACCATTTGTGCAAACATCCAAATCAGCATTTTAGTAACATTCCATAATTTCCCTAGTTAATTTCATAGGAGCATTTCAGGATGAACTTTCAGAAGTTCTGGTTGAAGCTCATAGCATTTTCATGTTAATGAATTGGGATCTTGTAAACTCAGAGAAAGGTGGAACATATTTTTATCTGCAATTGTTGATTTTGTGTTTTAACTGCACAATTTATTTTGCCTATTCTCCTGTGACTTGCCATGCAGAACAATGATGCATTAGGATATTGTAGTAACCATATGCAGCAGATAACTTAAAAAAAAGAAGACTTAACCTTCAGAGAAGACAAATGAAACAACCAAATGTAAGAAAGCTGGAAATTGCTTCAAAGGAATTAAGATCTTAAGGATTTTGATGGATATTTTATGACTGTTTCTGGCCACCTTTTATCTCCATCTGCCTCTCCAGGGTTATTACCGTTGATTAATGATGCCTATTAAAGTAAGTAGAGGTGATGTAGGGTCATTTTGAGGTTTTGAGGTGCCCCAGGCAAAAGAGCTGTATAACCCCCACCCCTTCTCTCCCCAATTCCTCACCTCCTTTGGCACATTTACTCAGCTATTCTGCTAAACATCTATAATGTGACATTCCTAATATGGGACCTTAGAGATAAGTACCACTTCTACCAAATAGGGCTAACTTTATAAGGAATGCTTAGGACTGTACCATAAGCTGGTAAAAACCGAACAAAGATTCTAAGCATAACTATACAGATTCATTAGAGAACAGAAAATCCAACCGAACACAGCATACATACCAAAGACAAATGTATTTTTGTTAAGTCAATTTTACACTTCATGCATTTTAAGATGGTTTTCATTGTAAGTTCATCACCTACCAGCACAATCAGAGAATACAGAAATGACAAGCTTACCCTTTCCTTGATCACTAAAGCTTTAGAAGAGGCATTTCAGCCTTTTGAAATGTGGAAAAACTGCACAAAGGCTAGGAAAGCACCAAATGACTGGAGTAAAGGATACAGGCCAGGGAAGGGAAGGGGGCATGGTCATCCGTAAAGCACAAGGAGGCTAGACTGGGACCCCTGGAATCCCAAGCTAGATCTCCAGACCTGTTGTTCTGCATCCTGGGTTTAGCACATAAGAATAAGCTAGGATCCTGTCCACAGCAGTGTAAATTATTAGAAATTAAAAAGCTAGTAGCCCTTTTGTGTTACCAGGATTCCCCTTTAGCAAAGCATCCATCCACCATATAATAGGACCATTACATATTTAGATCTCTAGGCATGTGGCTACTGCATAGATGCAAGGGCTTTTTATACATGTCAATTGTGTAATGACAGCCATTCAGTTTATTTTAGGCCATTAACACAAGGATGCAGGCTCTCTTACAGCCTGAGGATCAACTTTCAGAGACAGTCACCAAGGTGGATGGGAATCCAGGGTGGAACCAAGAAACTAAGATTACCAGCATATTTTAGTTTAAGCACTTTCTGCTGAGAGACATTGCAACTTTTTAAAATGGAAGAATACTGCACAAATGGTAGGAAACAATCAAACAATGGTAGTTGGAGGAAAGGAGTGGGGCCAGAGGATGCCGGTGGGGCCCTGGGGCGGGGGCGGAATCCTTCTGGATTTGGCCCCCAGACTTGAAGCTCTCTTCCCTTGCTTCAACATGTTTAGAAGCTAAAAGGATAAAATTAAATTACTGTAGAAAATGGAAGGAGCTGGGTTTTACCTTTGGTAAAATCTTGGTTTCTTGGCTTCCCATCCCAGGATGAGTGATGAGGCACACGAGTATGGGTTTCATCTCACTGGCATGCAGCACAGTGCAGGAGACAGACTTTCCCCGCAAATGTGCTGCACAGGACACCCCATAATTTACTGCAGAGAAGACAGTGGGGGAAAGAACATGGGGTTGATACCCAGAGCAACAGAATTCTTTCCTGCTACTTCATTTGTTTTTTAAATTTTGACCTGACTGTTTCTTAGGGCCGTAACAAAGAGAGGTGCGCGCGTGTGATGTCCAGAACAACAACCATGCGTTAACAGCATCAGGTGTCCCCGATCATGCAAACATGCATCAAGTTACCAAACTGCTTTTATTGCTCATCATTTTCTTTTTCTCGCCTGGACCGCTTTTTATTGCTGATTTCAGCGGTTTGGCAAATGTTGTTTCAACCTCCTCACCTCTTGGATCTGTGTGTGGCATGCCGACTGCATCCCTGGCCTTGAAGCGAGCCATTTGCATGGGGGTGGGGGGGTAAGAGCATTGCGCTCGTGTTACTATGCTGCTCCGGACCTGGAAGCAGCTGTCCCTGCGGTTTTCTAATCAGGCTCTTACCTGCTCTGGTGCACGAAATGTTATTCTATCTGGAGACGGAGCAGCGTGGAGCAGCGAGGCTTGCAGCAGGCGCCGTGTGATCTTCGTGCCCTCCAGTGTCTTAAGCAGCCACAATAAAGGGCGCAGCAGCCCCGGCTACAGAGCTGATAAGTCTCGGCAAGGATTGGCTTTGCATAATTATTCTCTCTTTGGTCTGCATAGATAATTTTTAACATAGTTGCACTTGTGAACTCTGCCTGCTGGCAATGTTGGGAGACTTGACCCGATCATCAAAACAGGAATTAATGAAAATTTCAAGTCGCAGAGCTAGTAGTCTCTCTAAAGAGCTAATTTGGGGGACGGCACAAAGGGGAATCTATGAATAAACTTGCAAAAGCTGCCCACTGCTCTTGCAGTTGCCGATAAAAGTCTTCCAGCACCATGTTTTTTCTCTCAGGGTTGCAGAAAGGAGCTAAGAGATAAAGCTACAGATGCTGTGCCTCCTGTTGTTGTTTAAAAAGTGGCTTCTTTGTTTGAGCTGCCCACCCAGCATAGAAACGACAAAGGTTTCTAGGAAGAGCGACAACAAATCGTACATTTGTATTCAAAATCTGTATGTCAGACTGCGCTCTCCCTTGGGTAGGCTGGGCGGTGGATTTTAAAGGTACTCACTGAGTCTTCCATCCATTTGCATCTTCCAGCCCCGCCCTTTTCGCTTGTTCGCATTCACTACTTATCTCTGCCCAACAGCTTCTTAGTTTTGCTTTTGCATGCTACCAAATTTTCTTCCTGCACTTCACCCGTTTTTAAAGCCTGCAACGTAGTAACGTTTCAGAATATGACAAGAACCAGGGAGTTGAAGGGCAGCAGCCGAGGGAAAAGCAATGGCCATGGAATTGGCAATGAAGGCCTGGCAGCCGGGGACGAAGGTACTATTGATTCTGTTGGTTCCTCCAACCACCAAATGTTGGTGCTTTCCCAGTTTTTCCCGTTTGAAAGGTTAAAATCATATGCAGCAATTTGCTTTCTAAGAGTGCCAAGCTGTATTCCAGTCGCCTTATCGCATCATGCAGAAAACATAAAAGACCGCTCTCCTCCTCCTCTCCGTCTTCCCACCCCCATATTTGATCCTGAAAGCCAGACCCTCGACCTTAGGAGAATGTAATGAAAATCAGTGGGCCCTCTATCACTACTGTCAATGTAAATACATTTCCAATATGTCTCCCCTACCACAACCCACATTCTCCCCCGCTTCCCCCCCCCACCCCATGTCCAACTGTATCCACGGAGGGCCGTCACTGAGAGTATTGGATTTGTGCCTGGGCTGCCAAAATGTCAGTGCTTATAGGTTAGAGGCGCCCTCCCTGCTCTCAAAGTGGCAAAGATTTCAGCCTGTCTGTGAAAGAATGCTTCTCCACCCCTTGCTGCATACCCCAGAGGGCCTCCGTAAGCATTCGCTGTTTGCTTCAGTCATCACACTTTTCTCATTAGGAAGATCTACAAGAGATTTCCCCCCTTCTTTATCTCATTCCTCCCTCCCTCTCAATGCCCCGGGGGCGTTCTGTTCCCCCAACCCACCCTGCCTGTGAAATTAAATCCCAATTTAGCCTGGGTAAGTAACAGAATTCTGACTTTATGTTCTAAAGAGATCTAAACTGTTTGAGTCTTAGACTAAGATTTACAGATGAAATTGCTTTTTTCCTTCGGTTGCAGTTCTCTGCTGATCTTGATGGTAGACAGGGAAAATAAAATAGCTTACTAAAAAAAACCTTGTTTAAAAAAAAGTCTATCTTTTTTGAATGGTTTAAAATGACAGGGAAAGGACACAAATTATTAACCAAAAAATAATACTGAGGACACATGTTTTTTTTAGGCATTACATCCTGAGAAGCTGGGATGTTGATTTGTGACAATGGTGTCGATTTTAAACAGCTTTTAAGCACCTTGTGATATAGCTCTTCTTGTTGCTGTTGTGGTTGTTGTTGAAGACTTTCTTTGTAAAACATTATTTCTAAAACTATCTAAAGCTCCTGCATGCATCTTACAGTGCAGTCTTGTATGTGTCTACTGAGACACTTATACATGTCTACTGAGTTCAGTGCAGCTTACATCTGTGTAAGCACTGTAGGATCACACCCTGAGTCTGCTTTCATTCTTCCCTCCCAAGTTTCAAGAAAGCAGTCCTTGTCATCTCTGCTGTTCTGGAGATTTCTGAGGAATGACAAAACCCATGCCTCTAACTTTTGGACAGCTGCTTTTCTTGTGGGTAAAGACTTATTTTAAGTTTTGATATTCTGACTTTCCTTATTCAGAAACCAACATGGATTCCAAAACAGCAGATGCCATAACTCATTGTGTGTATTTAAACAAATCATTCAAGAGCACCTGCCTGCCCCTTTAATACATTGTCTTTAGAACTACTTAGGGCTTAATGACCATTGTAAGGTCATATTTCTGAAGTTTACTAGTTAGAAATAAATGACAAGCATTTGGAGAAGGGGAAGGTTTACACAAAACAGAGACTGGCATGTAACTTAGAAGAATGAATAGCACAGGTATCCCCAAACTGTTTTCCTCCAGATGTGTTGGACTACTGCCTGAGGAGCAAAGGGAGTTGTCAGGCTAGGCAGGGGATGGTGGGAATTGTAGTCTGATACATCTGGTTGGGGAAAGTTGGAGTAGTACCTGTTTGTTTTCATCCATTTTTTTGGCGTAGCACCATCCTCAGTTTGCAAATAACTTGCATGCCTTGAAATTCCTTCTTTATTGGGAAACAGATGTTTAATGCTGTGCAAAGGTCAACGTAATCAGAGTGCAGGAGATAAAGTGGTCATGGCTCACAGACATATGATAGCTCAGAGACATTTTAGGGGTATGTTGGGGTGGGGAGAATGATCATGGTGCTGCTTCAGTTCAGAAAAGTGTGAAGGAGAAGGTTGTGAATGCATGTGTTGTAAAGTATACATTACTAATTAGGGTTAATGAGGATGCAAGAAACTATTTGTTAGTGGGCAATTTTGGAAATTCTGTATTAAAAGTGAACAAAAATTGCTGCCCATAAAGGAGTGAGGATGGAGAGGAGGAATAGTCCATTCCAAAGCTCCATCTTTTGCCTCACCAATATTCAAGTCAAAAGAAAAAAAAAGTGTTATGCAAATTTATTTCCCCAGTTCAGCCAGCTATTCCCCTGAAATATATACCTGTGTTGTTTTCGGAACCTATTATCTGCAAAGATAAATAAGGACTGACTGATTGTGTGAGGCTGCTTAGGCTGAGGACATTTTCTTTCTAAGTTAGCTTAGGCCAAGTGATCTGAGGGATGTGCACTTAAAATACAATGTTGTGGATTTATTTTTCCTCAATGCCCTTTAACCATCTGGTTGTGCCACAGGGAAGGCACAACCTAAGCCTGTTTTTCAGTCCACCCTGATGAGCAGGGCTGGCCTGAGGCAAAGGACAACCTGGTGTTCCTACACTCCTAATTCCATGCACGTACCCTGAACAGGCTGGCGAGTGAAGCTTACTTCAACACTGACAGAATTTTAGCATCCTCTGAGCACCCCACCTGGAAACAGCAGGCCAGGTTAGGAGACACAGGATGGCCTGTGAAACTTACAGCCTCCTGCAGAGTAGAATGACGGGGGGGGGGGGGCAGGTGGAGAAATGGCTGCCCCTCCACATTTGCCACTTGAAGCTGCTGCCTTATTCTGCCTAATAGCAGGCTCCGCCCTGCTGATAGGGAATTCAAATCCAAATTGTAGCCTGTGAGTACAAAACCAGGCAGGGGATTATTCTGAATTAATTATCCAAGAAGATAAGATCACACTGTGTGTGCCAGTGCAGGAGGGAGAATTGCTATGCTGTTCAAGCAGGCCACCCACTGCACTGGGCTGCCCAGAGACAGCTCCCTCGCTGGCCACCTTGTGATCAGATGCTGCCCTGCATACGCCTGTGGTCCAGATTGGCCCCTCTTGTGTTATTTTGAGTCTTAGGTAGCAGTGCCAGTGAGGTGCACCGGTTACAGTGCTGGACTGGGATGCAGGAGATTCAGATTCTTGGCAGTGAAGTCCATGGGGATACTTTGGGCCTGTCAACCTTGCCTGTCAACCTGACTGTCTGTCAACCTGACTGTCAACCTTGCCTACATTGCATGGTTGTTGTGAAGAGTAAATGCAGCTGAGGGGGACCTTGTAAGCTGCCTGCCTTGAATGCCTTGCAAGAGGGGAAAAGGCAGCATACATCGTGTAGGAATAATGTAAGGCTGCAACACAAGGCTGAAGCTGTGCTACTTGAGATTAATTAAGGTAGAATAATAGTAGCTGCTCTTTAGTTTCATTTTCACAGTGCCTCACAGAAAAGGTGGGGGAAACAGTCCTTTCAGGCACTGTTATTGCGATGGCATAAATAGATGTGTTTAAGCTCTCATAATCACGGTGGTACATCATGAGAAGGCAAGATTGCCTGGAGAAGACAAATGTGCTCGGGAAAGTCAAAAGCAGAAGAAGGCCAGCTATGAGATTGATTGCCTCCATAAAGGAAGCCACAACCTTGAGTTTGCAAGAGATGAGCAGGGCTGCCAGGGATAGGACAGGTTGGAGGGTTTCATTCACAGGGTTGCCATAGGTGAGAGACAACCTAACAGTGCACAACAACAACAACCGGATATGGGTTTAAGTGTGGCTGACAACACTGTCTTCTTTGTGTTTTTACAGTGTCATAAGTACAGGGGGCCCAATTGGGGTCTCCCTGCACACTAGAGTTTTAATCTGGTTCAGGAGACCTGCATCTACGCGACAGTAAAAAGGGAGCGAGGAAAAGGGATTCACTTGTTGGATGCACATTTAGTTTAAAGCACTGCCTGTTTGGGCCTTGAGTATGCATGAGCGTAAGGCATGATAAGAGGTTTAGTGCACTGACTAAGTGATCTTGAATGTAAAGACAGGTTTAAGTCAAGGATATTAGGTCCAAAACGGTTATTGAGAGTTTGTAACCTTCAAAACAAGCCAAGGAAGCTTTGTTCTGTGAAGAGGCTGCTTTGTATAGTGGTGTTCAAATTGGTCTTTTTCTGTGGCTGCTTTGCCAGTCAACCTAGTGGCAAACCCCCCCAAGAGCTGAGTGGGGACTTGCATTTCCTTTCGTCACACTGGCTCTTCTTGTGCCGGAGTTAGACAAAAGTGGCCAAAAATGGGTGCTCTTTCTGCTCCTAATCCCAAGGACAGACCCTGGTGGAACTGATGGCTGACCCTTCTTAAACCTGGGTACAGTGATTCCCTATTGCATTTTTATTTCTTCGGTGCATCTCTGTCTTTTCCTCCTGCCTTTGATCTGCCCATATGTAACCCTGAGAGCCACATTCAAAAATGACAAGGCAGTGACACATGCACACTCAGCATTCAGTGACCCATGCGCATGCACACATGGACATTCAGCTACCATGTTTAATATGCAACTCCTGCTTAGGGATTTGTGTCTCCTGTGAACTTAAGTAAGGGCTAAGGCACATTTGCATAACCCCCGGTCTGTTGTTTAACCCACACTCATTTTTTTGCATGGCACAAGAACCCCCAAGTACAGGCTTGTATATGCCTATG